ACCATCCTTTTATGGGAAGTGCCTAGTATGTATTGAAAGGAACAGAGAAATCAATCTCTTGTCCTTCAAATAGAATTCCTTCTTCAAGTAGAGTTCTGAGAAAGAAAATGTTCATCTGTTTACATAGAGATTAAGGTTTTGGTGTGAAAGCAGGAAGGCAAATTTATGCCTAATGACAATTTCTTTGAACTAAGAGAATTGATGCAGATGGGTTTCATTAGGTTAGAACTAGGTAAGACAAAGCGAGAGTGTGGCACAGAGTTGAAATCTGTGGGAGCCCCCCTTTTTTTAAGCTCATTAAAAATGTAAATATTTTATTAATTCTTTGAAATTTGCTTCTAATGTTTTTTGATCATATTCACCACCACTCCTCTCCTTAGCTCCTCTCAGATTCACCTCACCTCCCTACCCCCAACATTGTGTACTCTTTTTGTTTTAATTTAACAGCTCATTGACTCCAATTTGTGCTGTCTATATAGTCCCGAGTGTGGGGCCATCCACTGGAGTGTCGTCAACCACCAGGAGCCACACCTTTAACATAAACTGACTTCCTCCCCCAGGCTCCATCAGTTGTTTATAGCTCCTCAATTAGGGATGAGAGCTCATGAACCCCTTCCCATTCTTAGCTTATTTTTTAAAATTATTTGTTCAATAACCACATGGTTAGACAAAGCATTTCTTACAGCTTTAACATATTCAATAACACTTTCCAGAGCAAAAATACATCTCTTTCAAAAGTGGCTGTAAATTTTTAGGTTCACAATTGAATTAATACAGTTATATTGAACTCAGTATAAACCCTATAAGACATAAAACTGAATGAGGTTTTAACCTTTAAAAAAGATCTCCATTTCATTTTAAAATATACTGTTTCCTACAGAAAGATTCATTTTTAATGTTACTAACACTTAGATGTTTGTACATGCGTCTCTAATCTCTAGGTATCTGATTATTATTAGTCACAGTCAATTTTTGCCTAAGGTTTTATATTACCTTATGATAAAATATGAAAACGGGATATGTGGTTCCATGAGAATAGGATGGTTAAGGAATATTAGACTTCCATGAAGAACAGTGTCAATAAACAGTACTGTCAACTAATTCCCTTTTGTGTAGACTGTGAGAAAAATGGGTTTAGGAAATGATGTCAGAAAGCCTATACAGACCTGAACTCTAAGAAGCTGACATCAGGAACAGGTGAGGGAAGTAGAGAAGCTTCTTTGCCAAAGGACAATACCATTTCTGCCATTCACATACTTTTCTCCATTTGAATAGAAGTAAGTATGTATTTGTATGAGCACCATCCTATTCATTTCTTAGATAACAGCTCACCTCTAGAGGCAGAAATATATACTGCAAGCATTTTGTATAAGCTTTTTTCCCCCTAGTGTATCACTGGTCCAGTTTTCATGACATTTTGCAATAAACATCTACCACTTACAGTTATGTGATTAAAGTCAGTGATTTTAAGATAGTTTCTTCGCATTCTCAAAATTGTGTGCTCGATTACTCAGCGCCAAGTAGCTAATGATTGTCTAATTCTCTTGATAGATACAAAGATATTATTTGAAAATAACAGTCCTAACAAGAAAAAAAAGGGTAGATTCTGAAAAACTTGTTAGGAAAATAGTATTATTTAATGTGACAAATATTTGAGGATTCAAATATGAATATAACATTATAAATAGTATATATGTATGACTAAATATTTTACATTCCAGCCGTGTATGCTTACTTTATTGTCTGCATAGGAATTTTTTTCATGTAGCAGAAAATGCAGAAAGACTAAAAGAAAGATTTAATACTAGGTTCTTAGGATATACTTTTACATACGTAAAAGTATATCATATATATATATATATACATACATATATATTCTACATTATAATTCTCCACTGAATTTGCCTCTCAAGAAAAATAATTCGGTCAAATTCCTTCCTAGTTTCCTCTGATTATGTTGTTTCTATCTTTTAAATTTTATTAGGTGCCAGTCTTTCCAGTAAATGATATTGACAATTAAAGTAAGTGTCAAAACCTATGAGTAAAGTTGAGACTTTCAGTAAAAGTGAGCTTCTCCAGGCAAATAAAAACTAAGTCATAAGAACTTTTAGGACCATCAAATGCAGAACTTTTTCCCAAATTTAAGGGGAAAATTTTATTCTCATGTATCACTTTATTTTTTTTCCATTTACTTTTTATTGTGTGTATGTGTGTGTGTGTGTGTGTGTGTGTGTGTGTGTGTGTGTGTGTGTGTGTGTTTATGGGCACACACATGCTGTGGTGTGCATATGGAGGTCAGAGGAGAGCTTGAAGTGTTTGTTCTCTCCTCCTACCTTGTGGACCACAGAGATTGAACTCAGGTGTGGTGGCAAGCATCCTTACCTACTGATCAATCTTGCCCTGTATCATTTAGATAGAGACAGCTTAGTTTAATGTATGTAATTACTCAGGAGTATATTTTAAGAGGCAAGCATGAATAAAGCTACTGTAGTTAAGGCAGTATATTATTGGCAGAACAGTAGACAAATAGATCAGGGGAGCAGAATAGAGACCAGAAATAGATCCACCTAAAATAGAGTTGACAGTATTTGATCTTTATGGAGCATCAAAGACACAACTCATAAAAAAGAATTGCTAATTTGTGTTGTTTTACATTACAGTTGTGTGTTCTAGGACACCGTGTTATACACTTTGCAAAAATTCAGAGCATTGTCAACAGCCAAGTGCTTGGAAAGTGCAGACTAACAGATATATCCTCATTAATTGCTGCTGGAAGTGCAGAATGATATAGCCACAATGGAAGACGGTTTTGACATTTCATACAAACCAAAAATATTTTTACTACATGATCCAGCAGTCACAACCTTTGGTACTTTCCCCAAAGTAGTTGAAAAGTTAATCCACATAAAAAACCTATTTGGAGCAATTTTATTCATAACTGCTGTGACTTAGAAACAACCAAACTGTGCTTCAGTTGATAAATGAGTAAACTTGTATACCAGATAATTGAATATTATTCATCACTAGAAAAAAATAAGCTCTCAGTCCATGAAAAAAAATGATATGGTGGAGAAGCCTTGACTTGTATTACTTAGTGGAAGAAGCTAGTCTGAAAAGTCTCCATAATATATGATCCCAACCATATGACTATCTGGAAAAGGTGAAAATTGTGGAGGCACGTACAAAGATCAGTGGGCCGAAGGTGTAGGAGAATTCTTCATTCCTTCTGCTGAATTTTACTATGGACTTAAAATACCCAGAAATAAATTTTAAAGTATTCCAAACAAATTTTATAAAAGACGAATCAGGCATGGAAGGTATTATCATTCTAATTTTATAGGTGAGAAAATAGAAGATGGAGAGGTTGCCATTTTCCCAGCATAGACTGATAGGGCAAAAGTTAAACCTGAGCCAGACTCTTGGCTCCTAATTCAGAGCCCTGCCTCCCATTTCTCTGTGTGCCAATGTGTGGAGGTTGCAGCAGCCTGTAATAAGTGACTGTGCTTTACTTTTGACCACAATCTGTGCTCATGGCTCAAACTGATTGCATATTTCTTAGGTAATCAAACTGATGTCCAATTTTGTTATACACTGAAACATAATACCATGATTCAGTTAATTGGGTCACATCTTGTCTCTCTAGACTTCGGTTGTGTATATGTATTGGATCCACCTTTAGCCATAAAACATATTGAAAAATATAGTGGGGCTGGAGAGATGGCTCAGTGGTTAAGAACACTGACTGTTCTTGCAGAAGACCTGGGTTCGAATCCCAGCACCCACATGGCAGCTAACAACTGTCCGTAACTCAAGTTCCAGGGCATCCGACAACCTCTTCTGTCTTCCACGGGCATTGCACAACACGGGTGCACTTACCTACATGCAGGCAATACACACATACCCATAAAATAAAAATAATAAATAAAATATTTAAAATAAATAAATAAATACCTAGAATTGAGACATCTGAAAATGCTAAGGCCTCTTAGCCCTAGACAAATTGACTCTTAGTAACAAGATTGTTATATTTTCAGCTAAGAATGCAACCAAAGTGAAAGTTTTATAGTCAGTATGTAAATATAGAATGGCCTATAGTAGAGCAGAGCACTCTAAGTAATTTCTTTTTGTGTGCCTTCTGTTTGGTTGCCTACTACTGGAATGTACTGAGAGGCAGCAAGAAGAATTACCAGAAGCTAAAGAAATGGCTCAGTGGTTAAGTGTGCTTACTGTCTTACCAGAGGACCAGAGTTCAGAACCTAGCACCCACATCAGGCAGTTGACAGATGCCTGCAACTTCAGTGTTAAAGGACCCAAAGCCTGTTTCTGGCCTCAGTGTGTACACATACATATAAACAAAATAATAACATAAAATGAAGTACCTGATACAGTTACTTGTCATTCCCCATAAATATATAGGCCAATTGACAAAACAAACACACTAAGGGACTCTTCATATTCCCATTGACTAAGATGGGACAGGAATGAGTTTCATTCAGTCCACGTTGCCTCTGAAGCAGACCCTAAGAGAAGGATATGAGTCCATGCCTTTGAAGGGAATCTGTAAGAAACATGAGAGAAAACCGAAGTACAGAAGGCCATAAGTGGAGCAGTATTAGACAAAAGTCACTGTAGGTGACCAGAAGTTAAATTCTATGAGAATATACTTAGAAATAGTATAGAACACATGCCTCAGATTCATTCTACATAAGTAAGGAACATAGGTCTTACTGGGTCTAACACTGAAGTATTGAGAGGGCCCCCAAGGGTGTTATTGCCCAGCACTTCGGCCTATGAGGAATGCATATAGAGCAGCCATCTGTAACTCTGGAAAATGTCCTCAGGTCCTTTGAAGTATTGACAGTTTGGAACCAGCCTGAACATGTAATACAGAAGAGTCCAAGGCCTGGGCAGGGCAGGGGGAGGGGCAGGTGACAGCACTGGCGTAGTAGGATTTCTGATAGAGGTGACATTTGACAATGTTCTTTCTCTTCTCTCCTCAGGCTTCATCATGGCCTTGTCCCTGTTGTCTATTGTGTACGGAGCCTTACGTTGCAATATCCTAGCCATCAAAATCAAGTATGATGAGTACGAGGTCAAAGTGAAGCCCCTGGCCTACGTCTGTATCTTCCTCTGGAGAAGCTTTGAGATTGCCACACGGGTCATCGTCCTGGTTCTCTTCGCCTCTGTCCTGAAGATCTGGGTGCTCATGGTTGTACTTGTCAACTTCTTTAGCTTCTTCTTGTACCCCTGGATTCTTTTCTGGTGCCATGGCTCCCCATTCCCTGAGAACATAGAGAAGGCCCTAAGTAGGGTGGGTACCACCATCGTGCTCTGCTTCCTCACTTTACTCTATGCTGGTATCAACATGTTCTGCTGGTCAGCTGTACATCTGAAAATTGACAGTCCTGATCTCATCAGCAAATCCCAAAATTGGTACCGGCTGCTGATTTACTACATGATGAGATTCATCGAGAATGCCGTCCTCCTGCTCCTGTGGTATTTTTTCAAAACTGACATATACATGTATGTGTGTGCCCCTCTGTTGATTCTGCAGCTGCTCATTGGGTACTGCACAGGCATTCTTTTCATGCTTGTATTCTATCAGTTTTTCCACCCTTGCAAAAAGCTATTTTCTTCCAGTGTTTCTGACAGCTTTAGATCATTTCTTAGTTGTGTTTGCGGGGCCTGCATGTGGAAGTCCAACAAGCCAGTAGTAAAGACAGACACAAACTTAAAATTGTCCACAGATCTAGGTGTAACACCTTCTACCAGTAAAATAAGTCCTGAGCTCACTGAGATGTGGAATGTTGACGATCTGTGCTCTGCTTAATGGAACCTGAGTCTTCTCACAAAACAGGCATATCGTTGTCTAGGTTGGTAACTATTGTTCATACAAGTAATAAGGCCTAAATAGAGAACAAGGCAGGAAGTTAGCTGTTAACTCTTTGGGAGCTGCTGACTTTTATAGAGTTCTTGGGTTTAAGGGAGCTACGGGGAGAAGCTAGGGCAACCTATTTCCCCACAGTTTCACAGTTGAAACTGTTATGCTCTTTCCAGCCTTACTGGCCATTTCATTGACACAGTACCCCTCAAGTTTTAATTGAGCTGGTCAGATTCATTAGGTACAGTGAGGAGAAAGACTTAGTTGTTTTCTAGTTTCCTGGACTGTTGGTCTCAGTAGCCTAATTTATTATTGCTGAATATAGTTTCACATAAAAGGCATTGTGATGGCCATAGTAGGTTAGTGGGGTTTTTGCAACCTCATTCCCATCACAGCTTACAGGGAGGGCTGTTTACATTTGGTGTTTCAATATGTTAACGTTTTCACCTCCTTAGGACTTTTTGTGCATAACCAACTGTAGCCACTCTGGTATAAAATCTGTAAATTATTTCAAGGGCCTAGATTTATGTACTTTATTCCCTAGGATCCATTGCTACAGTGACTGAATTCTAAATTGCTTATGGAAGCCCTAGAATTTTAGGAAAGCTATGTTTCGTTCTGTAAATTGGGGATTAGGAAGGATCAGGAGGGTTGGTAGAGCATCAAATTGATAAAGGCCTAAATAAGTAAAATTGTTAACTTCTCAGAATGTTTAAAAATGTGAATTGTTTAGAAGGTAGGTCTAAATCTCCTGAAAACTCAGTCTTGTCTTATAATTCTAAGGAATTTCTAGTAGAATTTCTTAAGACTCAGCTTTTAATAAAGATGAAAGTAAAATTTTCTTCTTTCTTATATCCCCTTCCTTGCCTGCCAGGAAAGTTTTCAATAAGAATTACCTCAGTTAATATATATATATATTTTTTCTACAAAACCCTATAGAAATCTCTCCCCCAATGCACATATATAGGACATTATAATTTTCATTATTTGAAGGGAAAGGAGAATTTTCTGTACTATCAGCCCAAATTAAGAATTTTGACTTCAGAAAACTATTTAAATTATAGAAAAAAATGAAATGGCCAGAAGATTTTTGTTTTCCATGAAGTATATTTTGACTTGGCATAATTATAAGTTATTTTAAATAAGATCTTCCGTTTCACTCTCTTATACCTTTGCATCTTCTATATAATTTCTCCTTTAGCCTGGAACTCTGTTTCATTAGATTTATTTGTAGCATAATGCCTGTAGTCTTTGACAAATGCTTGTATGTAACCCGTGCCATTATTCCTACCTCTAAAATTTCGATAATGAAGTATTCCCTAACAGGTGACTATAAAGTTCACACTAATTTAGAATGAGAACTGGTACTAAATTTGAGAGCTTTTCAGAGGCAACTCTACTGAATCTACCATATAGAGCAGACGTCTAATTTTCTGAACACATAGAGCCACAGAACATTTTTGTAGCCATCATACTTCTGATGGTTTCCTTTCTAATTATTTTTGGTATCAAAATTTTAATTTAAGAAACAGATGTGATTGAACTTTGATTAATAATTTCTATTTCATTGGGGATCTATAAAATAGAGTATTATTTCACAGGTTATTCAAAAACACTATATATATTGATATACATACAGTTCCATATGTGTCAATAAGATTCTAAACTATAGAGCCTCAGCTGTACTTTTCAGAGATATTTTTCCTCATTTGAAATTCTCCTGATTTGTCAGCATTTGTGGTTTAAATCTATGAGAATGCAAGGCAATAAATCATTTTTTGACTATTTTTAACAAATAAGAACTCAAGATTGTCTGTGTTCGCTTTTCATCCATATACCACTTTCCTTGTTTTTAACAGGCTCCATCAAATTAGTTAGCATGCAGAAAGGATGCTTTACACAGCACATACATCTTTGTACTTTTCATGTTCAGAAGTAAAAAACTGTGACACAGGAAAAATGACTGAAAAATATAACAATACCAAGTAAAACAAATTTAAGATGTTATAGCATTCTTTTGTCTGGTTATTTCATAATTTTAAAATTTTAAAAGCAATTAGGAGAGAAGTAAAGCCATTCATTCCTAAGTCATTCCAAAGTGTTTTTCTCTATCAAATCATTATGTTTTGTGACACCAGGTATTTTCAAACTATTTAATGATGAAGACATTGTTTCCTTGAAGCTTTGCAATGACTGAGGGTAGGTGTGGTGGTACCCTTTTCCCCTCAGTGACTTCAGGTTTTGCCTTGGGAGTAAGGATTAGCATCAGCCACCAGCTTGTCACTTACTAGGCATGTGCAGAATTAGACAAGGATGGGGATACTTATATTTCCCAGACTTCGTTTAGAAACACGTCAATTTTTTTTTAAAATTGTAACTTTCAAATATATTACAAATCTCTTTAATTTAGAAAAGTGGTCAGAATTTCAAGTGACCCCAAACCAAACTAACAATGACAGTTGGCCAGACACTGAAGGCCCAGTTCATACTTTAGAAAGACACGTTTTATACCAAATTGGACATAGTGTCAGTTTTAATGCTTGGTATATATGTAACCCAGCTTTAGGAGCATGTATGACTGTTGACCTCGGTAAAGAGAAAACACTTCTGCGTGGTGAAAGATATAAGTCACGGAGAAGTGAAAATTTTTGTTATTAAATTATTTTTATCACTAAAATGGCAAAATATTTCAGTTCATAATACAGAACTAGATTGTACTAAAGCCACAAGGCCAACACATTTCTACATGTGTTAGGAGTGAAAACGTAGTTTTTCATTTATAATTGAAACATTTAAAACTCTCACGTGTCTAATCACATGCCATAATTAGTTGACCACTGTTCCAACTGAATCACTCATTTGACTGGACACGAATGAAGTTTTCCCTCCAAATGCATTGAAATAAGATCAGAGTACATGTTGAGACTTTCTAGAAGCAGCCCAGTCTGCAGATAGCTATTTATTTCTCTGTTTAGTCCCACAGGATGACTTAATTGCTCTATGCCTCAGTTTTCTCACACACCGAATTAAGATGATATAACTTGTCCAACTTATCTCATAAATTTGTTGGAAAGATTTCATTAAAAAATAGATAGGAAAATGTTTTACAAATATTTTAAAGTACCATAAAAAGTAATTATGGTATTCAAGTTGATAAGCAGGTTATAGTTTGCTTTTAAAAATATTTTTGTTCTATTTTTACTGTTTGAAATGAAATAGTGTCACCAACATTGAGTGTCTTGAGTGAACATATGGGTCTTTGGTCTTCTCAGCATTTTCATTTTATCTTACCATCCGATGCTTATAAAAATTATCACCCAGCTCCTGTGAGGGAAAAGATAATTGCTGCCAAGCCTCACAGCCTAAGTTCCATCCCTGGAACTTACATAGTAGAAGGACAGAAGCAACACACACACACACACACACACACACACACACACACACACACACAATAAATAAATAAATAAATAAATAAATAAATAAATAAATACATTTTTAATTAGCACCTAAATCCATGGTCTTTAGAGGAAAAAAGATTCACTGAATCTTAGAAAATGCTTCTGATGGCAAATGAGTTTATCTTAACATTATATTTCATAAAGAATGTAGCATCTTTTGATAACTGCATTACAACTTGAATGGCTGATTCAAAGCATTAATTAAATGTGAGTGTATCTTTTCAACCTTGTTAATGGGAAAAGGTATTAAAATTGACTGTCTTAACAACATACCATTTCCTTGGAAACCAAGTTAGAACATCACTGCTATGGTTGTGTACGTCAGTACATTTCAGTCAATGTATTGTAAATATGAGCTTTTGTGAACTGCTCTTTTGAGTCAGTGAGTCAAATATTGTTTATGTTTCATTATATAATAAATTAATTTTTCAGTTTCTCCTTGCATTTTGTTCCTTATATTGTCCTTAAATAACTTTTTTTTTAACTTCAAGGCTGGTTTTGAAAACAAATTTCAAAATGTTTTTTGTGACATATATTTTTTAATGTCAAATAGCGATTTCTCTGACAGGATGACAATTTTAACACATCTCAGATTTAGCTTTGTAGTAGAGCAATTGTTCATGAAAATACTTCTGTTTTATAATAATTTACTTTTTTGTTGAAACTGCACTGCTGAGTACTATTAAGATGTTGATGAATTGTCTGTCATTGTCTATGACATAAAAAAGAGGTGAACATAAATTGTATTATGATCCGTAAATGTGAAACACCAGAGGGGCCTGGAGAGATAGTTTAATGGTTAAGAACACTTGATGCTGTTGCAGAAGTGTTTAGTTCCCAACACCCACATCGTTGCTAACAATTCACAGTAACTCCACTTTCAGGGCATCCAACACCCTTTTCTGACCTCTGTAGGCATTGCATGATACAGGTGTATTTACAGACATGCAGGCAAAACACTCATAACACATAAAAAATGTAACTAATTAGACAACTCTTGATTACCCCCAAGAAAAAAGTGCCACTACTGCACCTCTATAGTTTGCTGTGCCGGTCATTGTGGTTATTGGGCTTTAAAGCTGGGATTGGACCATTGTTTGACTCTTCCTTCAGCAGCTTGCATAGCATCCTCCAGAACTATGAGAGCTAGTCTTCGGGGAGGACGCTTCCAGATCAATTCTAGCTCCATTGCTTCAAGTCCTGTCTTCAGCAATAGGGAAAATCAGCCACAGGCCTCAACCCTAACCAAAGAACTATTGGCAGCTGAATACTGATGGATGAGGGAGAGCTGATCTTCTTTAAGGGTGTGACGCTAGATAGGGTGACTAGGCTCCAGTGGACGAACATGCACTGAGGCACATCTGGGTACACAAACTTGACTTGCTAGGCCTTTACACATATGGCAGAATGCATGAAATCCACTGGGGGTTTGTGGAGGAGTGCGAATGGAGGAGGAGGTATAAAAATGATTAAGATGTTTTGCATGAAGTGCACAAAAATTTACTAAAATACCCTTTGAAATAAAATAGAATTAATGGTATAATAAAAGTCTTATGTGGAAAAAATAAAGCTAAATAAATAAAACACTGTAAGGATGGCTTTGTAGTAATATAAACAGATGGTCAAATTAAATGGTTTCCCAGTGATTGCAAAAATGCATCACTCATTAAAAGGGATCACTGGAGAACACGAGCTAGACATGGATTATTTCAATAATTCTGTTGCTTCTGAAGGTAGCCTTGCAATTTGTAAAGACATAAGTATAGGTTGTCTTTCTTTTAAGAAACAGATCTATTGAGGCATAATTGCTACACAAAGATTCACATATTGAATGTGCGCAATTTGATGAGTTTAGACATATGCAAACACATATGGCACTCACCAGGAGCAAAATTCTAGACATTCACCACACCTCTGGAGCATTCGTCGTGCCTCGTTTTTGTTGCTTGGATTTTTGTTATGAAAGAGCACAACATGAAAGCTACTCTCTTGAATTTTTAAGTTCATTTTGCGTCGTGAAACTGAGCTTTTATACCCACATAGTAGCAACATTTTGCCCCCAAGCCCTTGACAACCACTATTTAACTGTTTCTATTACTTTAATTAACCACATAGAAATGAAATCATGAAGTGTTTGTCCTTCTATGTATGGTTTATTTCACTTAATTTTATGTTCTCCTTCAGATTCAGCACGTCGAAAGAAATGGCAGTTTCCTTTTAGAGGTTAATATTCCATTGTATGTATATACTATGTTTTCTTTATTCATTTGCATTATTTTTACTGTATTATAAATTATCTTGCAATGAAAATAGAAATGCAATTTTCTCTTAAACATTTTTATTTATTTTGGATACATTCCCAGAAGGATCATATGGCAATTAGTGACTATTCTGTTTTACATTCCCACCAACAGTTTGCATGTGTTCCCATTTTTCTACATCCCTACCCGTAGTTATCATGTTCGTAGTACAGATGTGAGGAAATATCTCATTGTCAGTGTGATTTGTACTCCCCTGATGAGAGTGAAGTGAGCATATTTTCATATACTTACTTCCTGGTAATTTTTATGTTTAATTTGAATAAGTATATGTTGAGCATTTTGCTTATTTTGTGTTTTGGGGCTTTGATATCCTTTAGAAATTAACAGTTTAATCAGCTACACAGTTTGAAAATATTTTCTGTCATTCTACAGATGGTACAGATGGCCCTTTTTTGGCCCCCCCCCCCCTTTTTTGAGACAGAGTTTCCCTGCAGCCCAAGCTGGCCTGGAATTCACTATGTAGACCAGGCTGACCTTGAACTCACAGAGATCTGCCTGTTTCTGCCTCCCAAGTACTGGGATTAAAAGCATAGACCACAACGTCCAGCTTTACCTTTTTTTTTTAATTTTTAAGCATAATAGTTTATTATTCTCCAGTTTATAATTTAAAAGCTTCTGACTAGATGCTGTGGTATAATTTATAATGAAGCATTTGAGTAACATGTATATTTCACTGAACTGGTTTCTCTTATGGGTTGAAACTAAGACTTGTATAAACATAGCAGGGAAACCTTTCTGGGTTTATGTAGTCAGGCAAGACTATGAAAATCCCTGATTCCCAACTGTGATGCAGTTACATCTGTGTGGTATTCTCAGTCTGCAGGAAGCAAGTCTACAGGATTTGTGGAACATTTATTCTTCAGTGCAACAGTCAAACAGAAAACCACTAGCTACCATTATGTAACAAAAGTAATAGTAATTTCTTTGAGATATACAATCTTACATTTCCCTTGAGTTTCCTTTTAAAAATTTGGAATCTTAGTTGTCGAATATTCTTGAAGTTACAAAAACAAAATAAAAAAAGTGTGCACCTCGGAGAAAAGTCAGCAACACGACACTGCTAATTGTAGAAATCATCTGGGAGGCTATTGGAAATCCTCCAGCAATGATTTTTGAGAAAACATGAATTATTACCAGATTAGAGCAGAATCGTCAGCAACATGACACTGCTAATTGTAGAAATCATCTGGGAGGCTATTGGAAATCCTCCAGCATTGATTTTTGAGAAAACATGAATTATTACCAGATTAGAGCAGAATCTACCAGTTCCAGAAGAATCAAACTTCATACTTTTTCAAATAAAGTCTTTGGTATAATTTGGGTTGACACACAGAAAAAGAGCATCTTTATGAGACAAGGTCTCCCTATAGCCCCAGCAGGCCTGGAACTCACCATGTAGACAAGGCTGGCCTCGACCTCACAGAGAGCACCTGCTCCTGCATCCTAAGTGCTGCGATTAAAGGTGTGCGCCACCACACCTGGCTGTAGATTCCCTTTTCATCCTCCTAATTTTCCTCTTTGTTATTCAGAAGCCTTTTTAAAGTTATTTTAGAGTTAAAAGATCTGAATGTGCATTCAATTATATCAATCTGAAATTACTTGGTTCAAAATCTGTAATTGTTTTATTATTAAATAATTTCAAACTAATAGAAGATCCACAAAAATAGTACAAGAATTTTTTTCTATCTTTTACCGCAACTCATCTGTTTTTAATATTTTCCATGTCTGTTTTATCATTCTCACTTTCACGCGAAGGAACCATTTAAAATTATGACACTGCCATCCTGCTCTTTTATTCCTAAATACCTCTGTGTATTTTTCCTAAGCATAAAGGTGCCCTCTTATATTGATATAGTACAGTTATCAAATTCTGGTCATTTATCATGGATATAATACTTGGATCTAAACTAAGACACATATTCCTTTTAACCGTCATGCCCATCACTTCGTTCTCAGAAAATTTCCTCAACTATTTGAATCAACTCACTTCTTTTCTATAGTATTCTATAGTTCTCTGTATTTAAAAGTACTGATGAATTTTATTTTTCACATGAATATTGGGAAATCAGTAGCACACTTTGAAACACACATGATAAGAGTAGTGGATAATATCATTTTTTGTTTGTGAATTGAATATTAGTTTACTGAGAGTCACAAAATTTTGCAGATTTAGAATGCAGGACTAGAATCTATGGCTTCCCACATGATGGGCACATGCTCCCCACTGAGCTAAAACCTCAACCCTCAAGTAAAACCAAATAATCCTCCAGCTTCATCCTCTCAAATAGATATCACAGTGTGGTTCACTATGACTAGCTTCTTTTGATTTCTTGATCCATTGGAATGGTAAGCCCAAGGCACTTGGACAGTCAGCCACCAGAGTTTGTATTTCATTTCTGTGTATATTTGGAAAGGGCTTCATGTAGGCATCTGGATATAAAGTCTTTCACAGGAACTGAGGATGCTGAGTTATGCTTATAATCTGAGGGAGGTTGAGGTGTGGGAAGCGAGCACAGCTGAGTCAGCCAGATGGCGCCCTGGCTGGCTGCCAAACCTTGTGCTGTTTACTCCAACTCTTGGCTGATTGCCAAGGCTCGCGATTCCCGCTTGTTTATCAAAAGTATAAGCCAACACAGGTGC